ATATATAATCTGCATAAAATTTTATGTAGTACCTCCAAAAATCCAACAGATTGTCAGGATGGATCATAAAAAGATCATTGTGATAGACCCCATGGGCCATGAGAAAGTGTATGAGTGAAAGCTTCTCCGTAACTGGAGGTGATGTGAATCAGGTCATAATCTGTCAGTCGTAAAGCACTTGTTATTGTGGTGACAAGTCCCTAAAGTAAATTCTTCTACAAATACACAGAAATTTTATGAAAGCTAAAGATGCTAACCAGAGTAGATGGAGTATCACTAGTCTGCCGCATCAGCTTCAGCAGGATTCCAGCAGTTGCGGGATCTTGATTTTGAAGGTACACATAACAAAATAAGTTTTCAAAATCAATGAGATTTTAAATGTACAATTGATATTTTTATAGTTTGCAGAAAAATATTTAAATGTGGGAAGCCTGCAGTCAGTCAACACCGGTCATGATGAAAGGCTGCAGGCCAGACTTGACATGGCGACATTACTGTTGACACATTAAGGTGGGAAAAGAAAATGCAAATACATCCATTTATTTTATTTACCAGCTGACGTTGAAAAAAGAGGTTTGGAGATTGATTATAGGACAGCTTTGATCCAGATAAGTTCTGGGTCAGAAAACTGAAACTTGATACTAGGTCCTATACTAGGATATCAAAGACCTGTCCTGTTGTAAATTGAACTGGAAAAGTCTGTGAGAAACCAGTTAACCAGTTTTATAAGAATATTCCAATAATTTATTAGATAAGRCAGGTCAGGAGCACGTTATATAAGTTTCCTTTACAAACAGGGCATCTATTCCCATAAGTCAGGCAAAAGGACTTCAAACCTAGTACTTTTGTGCTGTCTTTACTTGGAAACAGTAATCATTGGAAATGCAAAAAACAAAACCTAAATTTAAGCACTAAATATAACCAAGATGAATGAAAAGTAATATTGCACTTCTACCAAAATGTATTTGTTTTTCTGCATGTTCTGATAAAAAAAAGGATAGCTTCTCAAAATAATAACTGAATCTAGAACTTTACATGTTTGACTTTATGGAAAATACCAAAATTATAAATAGTAATTTAGACAATCAATGCTCAGTTGTTTTCATTTATGTTCCAGACAAGGTGGAAGACTATTGTGTCTCCTGCAACATGCTGCACTACGATGCTGACCAGAACATCATCAATATGGTAAAAATAACAGTGTAAAATTTAAAGGTTGAAATGCATTATACTTACCAAGTCAGTGTTTTTGTTTCTGTCCACCTCACAGATACAGTGTGACTTCTGCCCAAGATGGACACATAAAGAATGTGCCACATGCTTTAATTGACACCATCAAATGTAAGACATGTCAGTTGAATTAACCTGATATAACGGGGCTGGTGCTGATTGTAGGCCAGGACATGGCCCAGATCTTTTGTTRAAACCTTTAAAAGAATGTTTTACATACATTTGTTGGTATATTTCTGATAACAATGCCTTGCTGTATCCTGCATTCATTCAAACATTTTTTGGGAAAAAACCCCGAAAAAAATACATTCAATACATACATGTAAATAATAAATGTAAATAATAAATCCATTGCATAAACAATAAATCTGTTAAGAGTGTATATGTTAAGTTGACAGATGACACACTGAATCAGAGTTTCATACAAATATTTATAGAACAGTGTTTTTTGATCTGATAGACTGTCAGGTTAACATACACCTGTTTAAACAGTGTGTATGGTGATCTGATAGGCTTTCAGGATGTCATGCACACTGTTTAATAAGAATAATTATTATTCTTTAATATGATCTTATATTTTATTATCTATCTATCTATCTATCTATCTATCTATCTATCTATCTATCTATCTATCTATCTATCTATCTATCTATCT